TGGGAAACTAGAAAATAGAAGGTTCAATGCTTTGAGATTTCTAAGCCAGCTGGTAGAAATTGTAATGTAATTATTGCTTTTGGGGCTTATTGTATCTGGTATTGTGTTTGTTTCCTGTTATTCCTTTGTCCTCTTTCCTCATGTGCATCACTGCAGCTGATCTAGCTCCCATTAGTTGTTCCCTTGCCTTTTTTTTTTTTCTTTTTTTTTGCACATACTGCACACGAACATTTTTAAGGGCTGGAGATTTTCCTGTATCGATATGCAGGATGCAGTCAGGTAAGGGAAGAAGAGACGTTGTTGACAAGGAATGGAATTATTTAGGATTCTTTATTTCTATCATATAACCAAAGAAAATGATTTTCCTGTGCCCTCTTCTTGTGTCACTAGCTCCTGGGTCAAAGTCTGGGGCAGGTGCCTCTGGGCACATGCCTATGCCATATCTGCAACAAAAGCTGGTAGAGCATCTTCAGGCTTCTGCCACAGGGAGGCCGGCATAAAAATTCAGGAAATCTTTAAATTGTAGAAAGTATGTCCAAAAGATGCTGAGTGGACATAAATATGACCAATATCTACTAGGCTTTTCTAGGATGACTGAGCCCCTGGGAGATACAGAGCATAGCGAGGAACATTTAGAAAGAGCTGAAATGATTATCTTCTAGGCATTGAGCTTCTTTACAAAACTCCTTGCAGTGCCTTTTATCCTAAAGCTCAGACGACCAGCCGAGCTGATCCCCAAGGTTTCTGAGCCGTGGAATTATTCCAAGTCTGAAGCAGCCTGTACTTCCCTGATCCACATGATAGACACTGACTAGCTTCCCTTCCTACTGGCCAGGCACGTAGAAATGAGCCGGCAGCACTTCTGTAAGGATGACTCTCTAAAAGAGAAGATCCAGAGCACAGGGCTGCAGTAAGATGTGCTCTCACTTGTCTGTGCTCCTTGCAAATCCTAATGTTGCAGCAGGCTAGGATATAGGAGGCAGCATGGGGTAACGGTTATAGTCATGGTCATTGTTGGCTCAGTGCTGGTCAGTGTTCACATGGACAGACCTTGGAGGCGGTCACATATCTGTCCCTGTAAGTACTCTAATTAGCGAGTGACCCAGCCTCTCTGAGCCTCAGTTTCCTTATCTATAAATGGGGATAAACCAGCTCTTAGTGTTTTGGTAATGAAATGAGATCATGAACAAAGTTCTCAATGTGATATCTGGTACTTATTCCAGATAGCTGTTACCGTGTTTTCACTTAGGAGAGATAGCAAGGGTGCTTTTTTTCAAAAATTCAGGTTTAAATTAGTAAAGGAAGTTCTGGTATCTTGATTCATCTCCAATGTCTGGCTTACTGATCATGCTCTCCTAAACATTTCTTACTGTTTATTTTTCAAGGGAGGGTATCTTTACCAGGTGTCTGTGCTTTTTGAAGAGCATAATACAGAGACTTTAATGTTCCTGTGAATTCACATTGGTCTGTTGCTTGCCCATTGGGTGGCCCTGCTTATGTCTGCTGCTTTCACTTCCCTTGTGTGTATGGTCAGACCCCTTTGGCCCAAGCAGCCTTGACCCAGCTCTCTGTTCCCGTCTTGCTCTGCCTATCTTTTCTTTTGCATCATGTCTTCTGCTCTGTTACAGATCTGCTTATTTAGTTCTTGCTTCCTCCTCCTCCTCCGTGTAATCCCAGTCTCCTGGGGCTGTTCTACCATCCACAAATTCCTCCGTCACTGCCCTCATCCTGATCCCCTTTGCTTATGAGAGGCAGTCAGCTCAGAGGCTAAAGGCATAGTCTCTGGAGCTAGGTCACTGGGGTTTGAATTCTACGTTTGAATCCTACCACTACCGTATACTAATGTTTATGATCATGAGAAAATTATTTAGTCTGCCTAAAGCTTAGCTTTCTCATATGTAAAACAGGCATGTATGTAAAAACCCTTGCAGGGTTCTTGTGCAGACTAAATGAGCTGATTGGTGTCAGGCATTTAGCACAGTGCCTGTCACATAGCAAGTGCCCCCTGTTATTGTCATCAGTTAAGGCATTTCATTTGCTGTCTCCATCAGTCTTCACAAAAATCCTGTGGAGGTCTTCACGTCTTGACTTCATCTTCTCCTGCTCCTCACTCGCTCTGTGCCAGCCACACAGGCCTCCTTGCTGTGGCTCGGACGCCTGACTCAGGGCCTTTGCACCCTTCCCCAGATACGTGCTTGCTCATGCCCTCACCTCTTTTACATCTTTGCTCAGATGTCTCTCTTACCGCCCTATTTACAGTCACAACCCCTGTCCCCAGCACTTCTGATTCTCCCTTTCGCTCTGCTTTTTGTCTTATTTTTCCTCCCCGTAGAACTAATCACGTGAACGTACTATTCAATAATTAGTTATGCTTTTGTTTACTGCCTTCTCCTTGCTGGAATGTCAGCTCCAGGAGGACAGGAGTCTTTGTTTTGCGCTGTGTCCCAAGCACTGAGAATAGCACCTGGCGCTCATCGGCACTCATTCCATGTGAAATGGGACACCGCTTTTACCCCCTGCCACAGATCAGCTGAGGCTTAGATTCAGGCTCAAAGGTCACACAGCTAAGAATCTAGAGTGAGGCTTCACATTCTACCTCAACCAACTAAGTGAATTTAAGAACTGAACATTTTTCAGTCCCTGCAAATCTAAAGTGTGGTGGGCCAAGAGGAGGGGCTGTCCTGAGAAAGAGCAGCTCAGACCGAAAGGGTTGACCTGCTGGGTGCTGTCGGGGCTGCTGAGAGGCACAGAGCTGCGTGGCTTTAGGTGCTATCATCCTCGAGCACAGTAGGATTTCAGTAAAGAAAATGATGACTTGGAGCAGGAGTTGTCAGGA